AAAAAGTAAAGTTACACATGTGAAATAGGCATTATATTTAAGTAATTTTTTGTGAGGACTGTTCATTCCCTTACTTTCATACACCCATAATGCAGTATCGTCCTTCAAATCCATGTGTGTGCGTGTGTGTCTGAGGACAGTAACAGAATGATACTTAAATCCCTTTATGTTAATATTGTGGTTTTATGGGAGCAGGCCTATTAATCCTGCTTTAACTATATAAGTGCTATTATTCCTTCAATAAGATCACTGGCTATGCAGTATAGGATTAAAGACTTACTGTATAACGTAACTGATGCTGTAATTTTTCAAGGAATCTTGAATGCTCTTTATCATGATTGTTTGTGAAGTGTATTCTGTGGTGATATGTGGAATACAATCTTTAATCCTCACAGTTTTAATTGTTTTTTTCCTAGCTGCAGCACAGCATGCTGGACCAAACGCTAACTTTAGCTTCAGCGCTATGGGATGTTGGCGTCAGCTGCGTACTTCCACGCCAGAGTTTCAGAGAGATTTTGAAGCAGCTAGAGCAGCTAGAGCAGCACAAGCAAACTGATAAACTCTTCCAAATTGGAGGAGGCTTACAGTTTGAGCTTAATGACCTGAGCCACAACTGTTCTTCCATGCCAAAAAACAAGCACTCCATTCCACCAGCACTCACTGATTCCATTTATTCTGTCAGAGTGGATCTTGCAGGCTTTCTCAAGGCCTGCACTCTTTTTACTTTGCAAATCATATAGTGTCATATGGTCTAGAACAGGGGTAATCAATTAAAGTTCCAAGAAGTCCAATCTCTATATTTCTTTCCCAGCAGAGGTCTGGACAATACTTAGATATAAATAGATATAATATTAATACGAATAGATATAAATTTCCATTTGGGCAGCTTTGCAAAAGAAAAAAAAAAAATCCAAAACAGTCAAAATAAGGACATTAGGCCTGAGAGCCAAAGCAGTGATACACACACACACACACACACACACACACACACAGACACACACAAAAAGCAGTTGAGCCCAATTGGATATGAATATTAAAAGGTAAGACTATGTATGGCAGAAGGCCATATTACTTAGAAAATATACTTTATGGGGGTTCAGGTTTTTCCTCTTGAAGTCTGGACCATTATTATGTTTTGTTAAAATAAGGATCTAATAAAAACAAGCAAACAATGTGCATAATAATAAAAACTCTCAGCATGCTGATTAAAAAGTTTAAATGTAGATGAAAAAAGTCTTGTTTATTGGAACGGTCGGAACTGAATGGCAAAATGGCAAAAACCATTGCCATAAACCCTGAGCGCTTGTGGTGTGTATTGCTCTGTTGTTTTGATGCGCTGTTCACTTTAAACTGTAGAAATGGTGCTACCATTGTTGTGTCCCGTGGTCCGGTTGGAACCAAGCCTGGGTCCGGAACTGGACTGTGGTTCGCTATTTGAGGATGCCTGGTCTAGAAGTTTGTTAAAAAAATGTGTTTTGAGTTTTTAAAATGCTTTCATACAGAAATATGTAAATATCAGCATCTGATGGGCTTGTCTTATTTTTCTCTGCACATGTGACTGAGGTAGTTTATCAAAAAATGACATTTCTTTCATAGATAATTTCATGTCGTAGCAAATTTGTATGATTTTATTTTTGATGTGAAACACAAAAGGAGAAAAGACGCAAAAGCACCATAAAAAGTATACCACTAAAAAAATATTTTAATTGAATTTAATTTATTAAAATAAGCTAAAGCAACATAATTATGTCTCAGTTTAATTTAATTTAATTATGTGCACTGTAACATTGTTTCTTTATTGGCATCTGTGATTCCATGAAGAACCTTTAATATTCATTGAACCTCTCCATTGCAGTTAAGGGTTTGTGTAGTGGAATAAGGTTCTTTAAATTATTAAATGTTCTTCACAATAAGAATTAAATATACAAAGTATTTGTGTTTAGTTTACAAAGTAATTTTATGTCAAAACCCATGTAGGAAAAAAATAGGGTAAATGTCAAGATTTTTAGGGTCAAGGTCTCGTATGATTGAAAAGACGTTGATTGTACTGTGTGCACATTCTGTATGGACTACTTTTATGGAGTTTTTATTTATTTATTTATTTTTGTCAGTCTTCAAGAATTAACTCTCACGTTCCACTAAAAGAAAGTCACACGAGCTTGAAACGACATTAATGTGAGCAAATAATGACATAATTGTCACTGTCCCTTTAAATGACATCATTGGTGACCTCATTGATCCCTACAGCTGCAGTTATGAACTGAACTCCTTAAGATTAAAAAGCATTGAGTGATGTTATTCAGCAGTGAAAGTGTATGGAGTGGTAGAGGATTTTTCCAAAGCACTGAATTATTGGCTGCTTAACTCCTTTTTCTAGCCTGAGAGGTCCTAGTTTGGGTCAGATTATGGGTTGTGTGTCTTCAACAAAGATCAAACACTAAACCCTGTAAACCCTGCAAAGCCCTGTAAACTTGCTTCTCTCTGCCCCATTTTTGACCACTGGAGACTCTGTCCCTGTGGGGTACAAGTCCAACTTTGCCCGCCAGAACAAATTACTTGCAGACAGAGAAATAGGGAAAGTACTTCTCTTTCTCTGTGTGTGTGTGTGTGTGTGTGTGTAGGAGAGCGGCGAGGACAGCATTAAAAGACTGGTAGAGGGAAGGAGAGAAGGAAAGAGAAAGAGAGAGAAGGTGGATAGCTTGTGGGTGTTGATACTACCCATGAGGCCATTTAATGGGCAATTTGGAATGCAGGGAATAGACTCAGCTGCCCTCTCAATGGGATTCTGTGTCTTTGAAAAAAGAGAGAGAAAGAGAGCAAGCTTGTGGGAAATCCTTGCCTGACTGCTGCTGTGATGTTGAATGTTGGCCTGTTTTATTTCACAGAATGTGGCAAGCACAGACACAGAGACACTCCATTGCTTTTGTGTGAAGCTGTGAACCTGCACATTTGCCTGGAAGAGGCCAAGCCCTGGAGGCTTTGCAAACAAAACCCATAAAGAGCTCCCTAAAACACACGTTAGCAGACTTAGCGTGACCAGACTTGTTCGGCATTTATTGCCTCTGTCTGTGGGTCTGTCTACCTATGAGTCTCTGTGTATTTGTGTTTGTCTGTCTGTAGGTTTGTTTGGACCTGTCTTATGAATTGTCCTATTGCAGTACTATCTACAAGGTTAGTTTTTTATATAACAGTGACAGATATTATGGCTAAGGTCTGACAACAAGTTTATATATAGTATATATATAATCACAAATTGCCAAAAAGGTCATGTCCGTTAATTGGTGAAACAGTGTAAACCCTGAAGAACATTCAGTTATTGAAACTGATACATCTTCTTCTGGAAATTTTGAATTTACAGTGCGTGCATAATTATTAGGCACATTGATATTCTGATCATATTTTTTCCAAGCACATTTTACCAGAGGCGGACAGTAACTAAGTACATTTACTTGAGTATTGTACTTAAGTACACTTTTTGAGTATCTGTACTTTACTTGAGTATTATTTTTTCTGGGAACTTATGACTTTAACTTCACTACATTTGAAAGACAAATATTGTACTTTTCACTCCACTACATTTCTATCAAGGTCCACGAAGTAGAAAGTCGTTACTCTGCTTTGAAAGTCAGTGGGTGATTTTTTTCTTCTCTAAAACGTGACTTTCTTTTTTTCAGACAGTTTATCAGTAATCACTCTTGTAGGACTACATTAAAAATGGTCCTCGTTTCCTGTTTACACTTAAGGCCCTTGGGGTCAATATGAATGGAGTAATGTTTGACCAGCAGTATCTGTACTTTCACTCAAGTAATGGAGTTGAGTACTTTGTCCGCCTCTGCATTTTACCAATTCCAAACCACATCAATCTTAATAACTACTATTAATTTTGTATTTGATCATTAATAAGTGCTATATAATTGTCCATGAAGGCTGGAAGTGAAAAAGTCCTTATATTCAGGTGTGCATAATTATTAGGCAGGTTTTCTTTTACAGATAAAATGAACCAAAAAAGAGATTTAACTCAGACTAAAAGTCAACAATTATTAAATGCCAATGAGAAGGATGCAATACTAATGCAATACTAGAATTTGAAAAGTTAATGCATGAGCATTGGACAGCAAAATGCTCATTGGGTCAGCTGGGTCAGAAACAAAAAATGGTGGAGAAGAAAAGAGACATGTTAACTGGAAAATAATTAAGAATTTAATTACTCACTTAATAAGAATAACATGCTGAAGTGTTGTGAAATACATGAAGACTGATTTTTTATAGGCTTTATGGACAGATAAGTTGAGAGTGACTCTTGAAGGACCAGCATTACATTCTCTTGTACCACTCTTTCAAGAATTTATCTTCCAGAATCTGGCTGGAAGACTAAATAGTTCCTGATGGTTTCACACTTAATTCTTCACCTTAATTTTTAATATTTTTGCAGTTAAAATGTCTCTTTTCTTCTCCACCTGTTTTTTTTTCTAACCCTGCTGACCCAATGAGCTTTTCGCTGTCCAATGGTTATGCCTTAACCCCCATTTGTGAAGAAAGAATATCAATGTGCCGAATAATTATGCACGCATTGTAATTGAATTATTGAATTATTTTAATATATTGCCACTGCCAGTTTATGTAAATAAGGTTTCAAAATAAGCAGCTTTAAATATTGTGTTTGGGGGGCCAATTGGTTGAGAAGTCAAAAAGTTTGAGAACTGCTGATTTAGGCCATAACTAGATTGTGCTGTAAGATGATATAACTCAAAATTGATCAAATTATCTATAACTGCTTAAAATGAGTTGTTTAATTTAAATAGATTTTTTCTTTTTTGTCACAGGCATGTATGTCATGAGCACACATCAACAACACATTATTTCATGTCCTCTTTGTACTCTGTACATTTCAAAATGCAAAATTAACAATATATATAATAATAATAAAAAATATATCAATAAAATAAAAAAAGTAATACAAATGAACTAATATTCTTTCTTTTTATTTCTCTCTTATTTAGAGGATGACAGTTCAGGTTCCCCGTATCATCGTGAGAGGTGTAATGCCATCAGTGGGCAGGCCATGGTTCTGGGCGTATCAGGAAAACTGAGTGAGGAACCATTCACCTCTACAGAAGACCGCCCCCCATTAGTGAAGAAAGAGCTTCACAGCTCTCTGCCCCACCTGGTGGACCACACCCTGCCCTATCGGGGGACACTGTTCGCCATGGACCCTCACAATGGATACCTGGACCCTCACTATAGTGAGTTACTACTTTGTCATGTTCTTTGGCCATATCGGGACAAACACCTACTCACTAATTTTTTGGTTCCAATTTATCTATACATTGTTGTATTTTTATCCTAAAATATTTTTTTTATCCTAAAGGCATAGTCCACCCAAAATATGTGAAATAAAAAAAATTATGTTTAGGAGAATGTCCTATCTGCTTTCTATGTAACAAATAATAGACAGCGACAAGAAAGTTATATACATGAAATGTGTGTGAGGAACAAAGTGAAATTTGATTTGTTACTTACTGAAAATCTTCTGCCTCCTGCTTTACATTTTTGGGTAAGCCTATTCATATAGAATTTATGCTGTCTCAGTAATGTGTTTTGCATAAGAGAGTCACCATGAACACCAAGTCCCTATAGACTGTAAATATTGTTGGTACATACAACTCAAGGACGAATGTTTGGCGCAGAGCTAGCACACTAACTTTTCTCCTCTGTGAGGCGAAAGGCAAAGCTGCTAACGGATTGATTGGGCCTGACAGTTGACTAGTTGCCCTTTCTTTCTCATTCGCTCTTGCTTGCCTTTTAATTTTTTTCAGAGGGGAAGTTAGTATGGGGGACGATCTTCTCTGCTCCCTAATTCCCTCATTAGGGGCAGAGTGTAAGCACACAACTCTAGTCTCACTCATCAGCGGCATGATCAAAGCACCACAGAGAGGAAAGCAGTCAACCCCACCCCCCTGTTCTTTTCCATATTCTCTCTTTCTCTTGTTTGGCCTACCATTCTCCCCCATCATTTTTATAATAATCATGAGAGACTCTTAGCAAGAGAGTGAGAACTTGTGAATGGACAGGATATGGTAAAGGAGAGAAATAAAGAGAGAGAGAGAGAGAGAGAGAGACAGATGAGGCTAGTCAAAGCCTTTTAAGAGGTTCATTTTGCAGACCACCATTGCCTGACCATCACCTATGGACGAGGATTCAATGTGATGGCTTGTTTATTTTCGATAAATTGGCTTTGAATTGTGTTTGACGGTGTAGTTTTAATCTATAGCACTTAATGAAATGCCCTTACCTTTGTTCTCTCTCACAAAACCATTTACTGTATCACAGTTTGTTTAAACCACTTCATTAGCAGCCCTGTGCTTCGTTGGTCTAGTTTTGGTCCGTCCGTCTTAATGCACAAAGGTCAACTACAATCTAACCCATCAGACCACATATTGACTAATAAAAGCCTGACCACCTCAGCAAATCTGCCACTTTATTTTTACAGAAAAACTGAGAAATAGGCAGAGAGTGTTTTAATGCGGGAGGCAGTGTCAGAGGAGAGGGAAGGTATGGATAGTGTTGATAAAGCAAAGACCTCTGAAACAGTCCCATAAATCTCCAATCTCCACTCTTTTCTTGTGATGAAGCAACATCTATCTATCTATCTATCTATCTATCTATATCTATATCTATCTATATATATATAATCTATCTATCTATCTATAAAAAAAAAAAACTAAGGACAATTTGAAAATATTCATATTCAACATTATGCTTTTAAGCATTCATGTAACTGATTTAAAAGAGAAATAAAAAAGGGGGAAAAAATGAAGGGAGATCAAGAAAAAAGAGTGAAGGGAAAAGAGAGAGTTATAATATGGGAGAGCGACAGACTGAAGGAGCAATGCAAGAAAGAACAAAAGTGAAAGAGGGGTGTTCCGGGTGGCTGGAGCCTGTAGGGGGAGGCTGGGGTGGAGGGTGCGGGGTGAAAGGGTGGTGGGGGTCAGAGGTCAGGTGGAGAAGGCAGACATTGAAACAGAGGTTCAAAAACAGCATGATAAGTCAAAGGGGCCTCTTAGTCTGTCCATTCTCTCTGCATGGATGATCACCAGGGCAACAATGAACTGTTGAGTGGAGAAAGTTGATGATGGATTGAATTCTGGAAGGAGTGGGAGGCGCTCTCCTCATCTCACTGACCAGGAGGAAATTCTTTCTTGAGAGATATTTCACAGAAATGCAGAACAGAGTGAACATGTCTCAAAGTTCTTTAAAACTAGTTACCTACAGCTTCATAATTTGTGTATACCATTACTTATTTTTTTCTCACAATAAGAGAATAAGAGATAACATGTAAACGTTTTTATTTTCTTGTAAACCCCTGTTTTTTTTATGTAAGTTTTTTGTTGTTGTTGTGACATTTGAAACCCATTTTGTCTAGACTGAGAAAAATGTCTGATGTAGTTCTGTGAGTGAATAAAGGACTCAGTGTACTTTGTGGATCATAGATGTGGTGTACACTCCTCACCAGAGGGGATTATGAGAGGCCAGGACCCTTTAACTAACCCTCCCAAGCCCTATCACCCATCAGCTCTTTAAAACCCACGCTGGCGCTATTCACTCATTTCCACAGGCTTTGAGGTGTGAAAAAACTTGACCCCCATACACATACACACACTCATGTGCTACAGAGCCTCCCTGCCTTTCTCTTTCCCTTTGGAGATCCATCAGCTCGTAAATGCGTCCCAGGTGTGCGCTAGTGTAAGTGTGAGCCCACGTTTGTGTGTGTGAGTGTGTGATGGAGAGCGAGTCGGGCTCTTTGTGCTGTGTATGCACTAGTACTAGAGGCAGGTAAAGCATGATTACTCTTCCTATGGCGTGTGGCAAGGCCTAATTCGCCTAAATGAGCCTCCACCTGCCGCCTCTGCACACCTGGTCACCACGGCAACACACAGTGGGGCACCCTGGGAGTGGGTGTCAGGAGCAAAGCGCCAAATGACAAGCGCCAGATGGGGGGGGGAAGGTACGGATAGTGTAGATACAGCAAGAACCTCTGAGAAAGTCCCACAAATCTCCTATCTATTCCTTTGATGAATCAAGGCGCTAATACTAAATTTACACAAACTCCTCACACCCACTGCATAAGTGCATGAAGGCCTGACGCGTTTAGAATAAGGAATGCACAGGATAAATAGCCTTCTTTGTGAGCGTTAGACGAAGCATTAGCATTAGCCTTCGTTCCTGAGCCTTATCCTCTTTTCTCACACAAACACTGGATAAGAGTCCCATATCCCGCTTAGCACCGTGCATAAAACGGCGGGATTGAAAGACGGATTAATGAAGAGAAGAGCGCTAAATGTGTGGAAGTGTGAAATGCAGCTAGCACTGCAACATTTGTTTATATTGTCCGCTGATTAGCAGGTCATCAGGCCGCAGCAACAGTGAGGCACTTGCTGGCGTTGCACTTCTTATCTCTCTTGAGGAAGTGTAAGATCCTTCTCTTCTCTCTCTTCGTCCTCTTTCCTATTTGTTTGTATTTTTTAAAACAGATGTGCTCTTTGCCAGTAAGAGCCATGTCCCATTATGGGAATTAAAGCATGCTGATTTGAATGTTTTCCTTTTATATGAATTTTATGATGGAATGCAAATGTTTTGAACGAGACAAGCAGGGAGGGACAAAATCTTGCCGCTCTGCGATGTTTTTAAAATCTTGGACATACATGATTGTCCCAGTAGCTAAGCCATATCCTTTCCTTAGCAAACTCAACTGAACAATAGGTTTATTCATGTTCTTCAGTTCAGTCTTGGCTGTCGTAACGGTCCTAAAGCATTTGTGCCTTTTCACAAACACTTTCCTAAAGATCTCGATAGTTTAGCTCTTTGAAGCCCTTGTCGTTGACATTCAAGCCCACAAGTGTCATTACTGTAAAGAGGGTGGACTCCAAAGCCTACTTAGTGCCAGTCTACAACTTCTCAGTGTGAAATATTGTCCCCACTCAAAAGCAAACTGGCTCCCAGCTTTAGCTTGATCAGCGGTGTGGGGCTACATTTTCAGTCCTCTGTGTTCCTTCTTGGATAAAGATCTACCAAGTTTCCTGAAGCCTGTAATCCTTTTCCTGAAGCCTGTAATCCTCTCACTGATTCCTCACACCAGAGTTCAGACAAATCCACATGAGGAGGGACTGATGATATCCCACCAAACAGACACATCCTAACATCTGTCACTGCTTGCATCGTGTCTGGTCAGCTCCACATTGGTGCACACCATATTAGAGTTTATTCCCACTTCATTGCCCTTGGTGGAGCATAGCAAGCCACCGCTGGCCAAACAAAGAACTTGTCGAGGGCTTTCTAAGATTATGAAAAGGGCTGAGCTTGACACTGATATATTGGATGGATAGTGCTGTTGGTTGCTTACCCAGGACTTTTCTTGGCATAATGAATCTAAATTTAAACTTACATCCATTCTGTTGTTGGCCAAGTAAAACATTTGGTCACTTCCTAAGAACTTTTCTAGAACTTCCCCATAGTTGTGAGTCTTGATGACATGAGTTGAAGTATAGTTATGACTGAATGAAAACATTTTTCTTTCTTTCTCTTTCTTTCTTTCTTTCTTTCTTTCTTTCTTTCTCCATAGTCCAATGGGTCAAAAGGGCCCATAGTTGAAGAATAGTTTTAGTTTATACTCCAAACTTTGTGGAAAGTAGGGGAACTTTAAATGCCATTAATGTAGCATAACCATAGTTTTTTCAAATGTTTTCTTGCTCTGTAATCATAAAAACACAACGATGCCTCAAATTGAAGATACAAGCCTTAGAGAGGCTCCCACTGACCACTTCAAGGGCAAGGCTGGTCTGTTTGTTTCCATATTGGATTTGTGAAAAAGGGGCCCTGCTGTGGCCCAGCTAGAGCTCACAGGGGTCAAGATGCCTGGAGCAGTCTTTGGGCACTAGTATGAAATCTCTTCTACTCCTTAATCCCAATCCTTTCATTCTGAAGGAGAATCTTTCACTGTTTTTAGCCCTCTTGGTCTAGTACACCACAGATAATCATATGATCCTCTTTTATAGAGCTTATTAAAGGAGTCTTACCATGTATGGCTGTACCATCACATTCCTATGCTTCTTGACTTACCTCTTTACTTTTTCTTTCACCTGGAGGGTTCAGGGTGAAGCATGTTGTGAGTGGAAATACTATTCAGCATTGCCTGATACTGGAATAATGAACATCAGTTGCTTTCTCTGTTTGAGAAATTCATTCT